GCGAGCTCGCTGCGCCAGCAGCAGCAGCAGGAGCTCCACGCGTCGTCTTCGTCCTTCGCGGCGGGCGGAGGGCAGGGACACGCGGGGGGGCAACAGATGCACTCGGCGCCCCCGCCTGCGCCGTCGGACTTCCCGCCGTTGACGCTGACGGCGCCGGAGAAGCCGCGCGTCGCGGGCGCGTGGACGAACTCGGGGTCTGCCCGCGCGATTGTGATGATGCCGGCGCAGCAGGCGCAGGCGGGCGGGAGCGCGCTGGTGCACCACGCGGGGGCGGACAGCAACCCCAAGATCGTGCGGCGGCCGACAGCGGGGCGCGAGGGGTCGATGTCGGCGAACGGGGTGGGTGCTGCTCCGGGAACAGGAGCGGCTGCGGGGACGGGGGTGGGTGGGGGCGCGAAGGAGAAGGAGAAGGAGCGCGTGCGGGGGGACGCGGTGGCGAACGCCATCCTCGTGAGCCAGGTCGCGGGGCTGACGCTCGAGGACCGCGGCGGCGCGGGTGACATGCCCGCCAGCGTGCCGTCCGCGAACCCCGGGGTGCTGCCCACCAAGGACCCGGGCGCGGCGCTGGTGGCGTCCACGTAGCCGTGCTCTGCCGCGGTGCTGATGCTGGTCGTTGAGCTATCGGGTCGTCCGTGCTGTCGTTGTCGTTGTATCATCTTGCTGTCGTTTTTCTCTGGTTCACTTTCCCTGTCCCTCTCTCTCATTCTCTCTACCAGCTTCTTGGTGTGCGATATATTTACAATTACATAGAAGCGGTATGTGTACTATTAGTAGGGTCGTTGGTATACGCAACGAATAAAAGATATTATAGCTATCGGCAGGGTAGGGCTCACCGGTGCACTCACCGCGAGTTAGAGGTTCGTTCCGATTGGGAAACTTCACCTCATGCATGATTACACAGCTTGGGTCGAATCGATTTCTTGTTATTCGACGGACGATCAGTCTTTGCGCTCACATTTCCCCCGAGAACCCGCCTCGGGGCCCGGCACGGGCCGTTCCTGGCTTCTCGCTGGCAGCGCCGCAAAACCTTGTAATGACTCTCCACGGCGCCGTCAATGCCCTGTTTTATTTCCTCTGCCTACGCACTCCTCACATTATCCTGTTGCGGCCAAAGATCTTCCTTCCGCCAAAGGATCGTACCCCCAGCTTTGTACACGGCCCCTCGCGTAAATTCACCAACGAGTAACCAACTCATTTTTCGATTTATCGTGGTATGTGAGTAGCATTCCCCGACCTTCGATCCTCTTCGCGTTGTCCTACACTCATCTCCAGGCCGACCGAGACTACTGGTACAATGTTCCCCTGTGTCCCCGGAGCGACACGCGCGGGAAATTTCACCGGCGTGCATTCAACGATATGCCGACCATGTACCACGCATATCCGGACGCCCTCATGTCCACCTTCCATGTAACCCGGACCTAAAGGTGTACGCCCTTGCATTTTCCGCGCTACGTCGAGACAGTGCGCTTTGAAAGTATCTGCGGCGGCAGGGCCATATACTTATATCGATGTCTCACTTCAAGTTATCTGTGCTTGGACAACCGTACGATGGTTGGAGTTCAGGGGTTGACTGCGAAGCTTGGGGCTACAGTTCTGGCAGGAGATTGTCCTAGTATAAATATGTAAAGTCTATCGTTGGCGACGGTCGACTCCAGTAGGTGCTAGATGTAGTTGAGATGTAGCTATAGTGCTCTATAGTGTGGCAGGAGCAGAATATTGAAGTCGTAGTTTCACTGATAATTTTCCTGGAAGATAGTAGTAGATCCAAAATAGATTCTGACATTTCGGCCGCGAGCAGCAGTGCGAAGAGTTCAGCAACACAAGAGGAAGCACTGTCGGTGTGAGTCAGACAGGATCTGGAGAATTTCCATCAATCGCGGCCAGTTAAGCTCCACGTCGAAAGTTCCCAAGGATTCTGAGGCTGAGCCGCAGACGCCCGAAAATCAGAAATCAGGCCTGAAGGGCAACTGCAGGGGAAGAAGTTGTGGACTCGGAGAACTTCAAGTTCAGAGAAGCCGAACCCGGCATCAACCGGCTCGGATCTTTCCGGTCCGAGTATCCAGCTTGACTCCGAGTCAGCGTCTCTCCTCAGTTCCTCAGGCTAGCGTGCGCTCACAATGGAAGAACATGCCAACCCGCTGAATATCCCGGAACTCCTCGAACACTGCATGGGGTTCCTCCGTGATTTGGCTCCGGATTTGAAAGCCAGCGCCTTGGTATCTCATTCTTGGGCGTCGGCGGCACAACCTCATCTATTCAGAGAGGTCGCTTTCGGATCTTCCAAAATGGAGCGCAGATGGCCGCGATTAGATACGATACTGAACACCTCCCCTCATCTCATCCGACACATCCATCGACTTTACATTACATGTAATATTCAATCGCCACCCTCGATCGAAATGTTTGCAGCGATCTGCAATTTTCCCTTCACGCGCCTTAGCCACGTTTCCGTTTCCCAGGAAGCAACCCTATCTCTTCCGACAGCGATTGCCATGCAGGAGCTGCTCAGCCTACCTACGCTCACCCACGTGAAAATAGAATGCCATTTTACCCAACCCTCCATTTTTCGGCAAATCTGGGACCGTTGCTCTCCCAGCGTCATGCACCTTGACCTAAGCTGCACCCAAGCTGCCATTAATTCTATCCTAAACCATGACATCCCTGTCGTGTCCAGTGTCCGACTGGAATCGCTCCAGACTGCGACGATTGGGATTAGGACGAATAGGGGAGGATGGACACAAACTATATGCCCCTTGAATATATCGGGCCTCAAGGTGTTGTCAATCGGTCCGCACAAGGAGATAATCCGCTGGCAAAGGATGTTGCCCGCTCTCGGAACCCTTCTTGCTCTAAATCTTTATATTGTTGTGCGTATGTTACACGCATGCGCACCTTGTAACTTATCCGCCTCCGAAGGATATCGTCGACCTTTCTCTGTTTCCCACCCTCGTTCTCCTCCGTGTTTTTGTATCCTCCACTGCACTACAAACGGCGCTCGACATCTTCTCGACGATCGCTCCCTCGAGTTGCATCCGGAAGATCGTGATAATGAGATCCATCTTCCTCGCAAGCGACGTTTACCAACAGCTCGATTCTGGGCTATCCGATCTCCCTATAAGCTATCCACTCACTGTCGAGCTCGAGATGGATAATGAGGACTACAACCATGTAATACAATTCTTCCCTCGATTGAGCTCGCGCAATCTGGTATGCAGTTCCTCTACTCCGCCCTTCTCTACCTTACTTATTCTGACCAGCTTCGGCGCACCGATGTTGACCTTCATTGGTTTGAAGTAAGCCCCGAGCACCACAACTGCCTTCATAGCTCACATCCATCCCAGAATTTTTCCGTTCGTTCATTATCTCTCTAACCCTTCCAAATAAATGATCGCTGGACTGATATCGAGTTTCGTCAATTTATCCTCATACTTGTCGTTCGGCCGGATTTGATGAACTCTAAGTAACCACATTATCCATCCAATTCCCGTACTAGAACGGAAACTGAAAGTTTCACGGTTCCCAACGTTCCGCAGGAGCGGGAGAAACGGCATGCTAGGTGAAGGACAGAGGATTCGACTGGGTTCGGCGACGCATGGTCAGTATTGGCCCTTGAGCTCGGCAGATCTCTAGCATGAGAGGGAAGCAGACTGAGGATCCGTTCGTATACAGTTATGCGGTCTGCTTCCCTCTCACGCTAAACGTCGGCCCAACGGCTCGGAAATGGAAGGACCCCTCAGTTCGTTATCCATATAGGCCTAGGAACTACTGGACCGTTGCATGGAGCTCATATGTACATCCACCGACTTCGCATTCAATCGCATTCATCAATATTCGTCCTCAATCACGATGTTTTTCTCTATCTGCAATTTGCCATTCACTTACCTCAAGATTGTCTCTATTGAAGCTCTGTTTGATCTGTCACTCCCGGTTGGGATCGCCATACAGAAATTGCTGAGTGGGCCCACTGTTTACCGCGTGCACATGCTGTGTACGTCCCTCAAACACCTCGACCTGGGCTACTTCTGCCTACTTTCAGCGAATCTTCCAATCTATTCCCTCGCCACCACATGGTCCCTTGTATCATGGAATCACTGCAGATTCAGTCGCAAGATATCTGCCCCTTCGATTTGGCGGTCTTAAAATGTCGTCGCTGGGTCGCGACGCGAGATGATCCGCTGGCGAAGTATTGTGTCTGCTCTCCACACGATTTTTGTCCTCAACTTCATGGTACGATGTGCATTCCACTCCATTCATGCAAATATTGAGTGTCGTTGCCTCATCTTACCGTTGTCGAATTCGAGATAGGTACCAAGAGATATATGTTCACGCAACACAATGCTTTCCTCTGGTAAACTCAGGCGGTCTCGTGCGTCACTCCTTGCCTCAGGTCTTCCTGGCAGCTTTTTGAACATGCACTTATGGTTTGAAGTAAGCTCCTCAGCTCGTGGGTTGCCTGCTAATACATCTCACCAATTGAACCAGAATTTCTCCGTCGGTTCATTATAACCTTAGCAACTTCAGAATCAACACTTGTTACTTGCACACAAATTTCCACGGCACCGACAAGTACGCTTTTTTAGCTATGGCACCAACGAGTATGTTGACTTCAATTTGATCGTGCTTCAAGTTGTTGCATCGGTGAAAGGCATGAATGAGAACAATTTATGTATGGTCCGCAACGCTGAGCCAAATCAAGGTTTATGAAGGCGTTAAAAAACGAGCCCAGTACTGGTTCGAGCAAAAGCACAGTTGGAATGGTTATTCATTGGATTTAGGAATGGTCAGGCTCTTAAAGACAGGCGAAAAGCACATATTGGGAATTGCATGTCCCAAGATGACTGATAAGAACTAGCAACACTAAAAGTTCGGGGGGGAGGATAACGAAAAAAAGGAACCCCTGGGGTTGAACCCAGAGGAGGTGAACACAGCATTTCGGGAAGGGACCAAGTCCTGTGTTCTTCGCGAGCACGTTGCACAGCCCCGAGTTCGGCACCATAATGTGCCACCAGGAGGATTCGAATCCCCGCGCTCCCCATAACCGAATGAAAGTCGGAGTGGGTTGTTCTACCACTGAACTATAGTGAAGCACGATATACTTAGCACAGAATTTAGTGAATATATGCCTGCATAAAGGATGCACGTCAAAGTGTCTACCAGGCTCGAATCAAGATGGTTAGGTGAATATACTACCCTTCGGGTTAGGTACATGTAGGTTAAGTAGGGAGATTATTAATAAGAAACAGCCGAGGTCCCTACTTAATTACAACCTCAGATGTGTGGATACTCGGTAACCCCTTCCGCTCAGAACCCGAGTACTCTCTCGGGAAGGGTCTCCCAAGTGAAAACAGAAGGTCAATTTCCGGGGCTCTGCTCAGTTGCCCCATAGTAAGCCTCCCGAGAATAAACCTGAACGAAGTTCGATCAAGATTCAACGCCAATGAATTACGTGAACGGGATCAACACGGGATCAGATTCAGTCAGATTCTATCAGATTGCAAGGAAGCACGTCAGTGGCAGTGAGTCTTGCCATCAAACGATCAAACGCTCTTTGCCTCCGCCCACCACCTCCACGCCAGCACAGGCCAGCACTCAGCACTCGGTCTCCGCGTCTTTAGGGAGCGTATGTGTACTTTCGACGCCGGTTCCGCCTTGGTGAGCGGAGATGCCCCCAGCTCGGATGGCCATAATTGCACGTCTATTCTTTGTACCAAAATAGAGGCTGCACCCAACGCGATCACGCAGACCGAAACATCAAGCAAGGGCAAGAGCGAAGAGAGGCAGCGCGAGCTCTCGCACGTACGTCCCCGCTTACTGCCTTTCTCAAATGGCGCCAACCGTACTCATTGTCGGACGTATCAATGAAATACGTGTCGCCCGGCGCCGACGCGCGCCCCATCGAGTCCCCGCACCGCCTTTCGCTCACCTCCAGCGGTCGCAGGAATGTGAATATGGCGACGGGCTCGCCTTTAGGTTAACTCTGGGCCCGGCCGCTAGCTTTATTTCTCATTCTCTTCTTTATTTCTCTCATGGACTTTCCATTCCAATCGTGTAGAAATAGACGGATACGCGCAGTCGCGTTGTTGTATGGTGAAATTCTACTATAGTGTAGCACATAATGACCCGCATGTCGGGAGATTTCTTCTGGGCCAGGGAATCGTTATAAGACGCGTAACCCTAACCCTAGCCTCCAAATATCTTACTTCCTTACCACCACGACGTACTTGACCTCGTTAATCCATGCCAACCTATTCACTTCCTACAATCGACGAGAATAATCCTCTCTACTGTCCTGCTGTCACCGCGTCCTCGTACCTCAGTTCTCTTCGACGTCAAGCCCACCGCCGCAACTCGCGCGCTCAAAGTCAGTCCGAAAATGACAAGAAGCTCTCTTCGTTCGCGCGGATCCTCGACAAGGCTCTTCAGGAAGGAGAACGCGAACCGCTGCGCGAGCTCTCGCAGTTGGACGATGAGTCCACCCTCCCGTCGTCCTACACCCTTCGAGAAAACCTGTCCATCTCTGTCGAGCGTCGCACAACCGTTCAGAAGACCTCCCGCCAACCCCTCAAGCGGAAACGTTCTTCCTTCAGTGACCTGGGTGGTCCCCCGAAATACGCACGCTCCATCGAATCTGTCCACGACAGTTCTTTCGATGTCACCACCAGACGAGAGCGCATCCAGTACTTCCCTCAGAAGCCGCAATATTCGCCTTTCGTTCTGCCGAAGAAGCCAGCTGCAAAGCCTACCCTCACGGACGACTTGAAGGCCAAGGTTCGGGGCCTCGAAGGTATCGTAGACCCAAATTCTACCAGCACCGACGCGCATATATCCATGTCTAGATCAGCTCTACGGTCCGCCCATCGGTACGGAGTCGCCCCGCGGAATCAAGCCCCTCATCCAGCGCCTCGATGCCCTGATGCCTGGCATTCGCCTCCAAGAACGACTGTCGAAGCTTCCAGAGCTGAGCCATCAAACGATCGCCGACTTTCTCGGCGAAAATGGCGCGTCTGCATGCATATATGCGCCTTCGCCGTCTGATTTCCACCAGGCCTCCTCAATGTTCGCGTCGTTACGATCCTGCGGACCTCTGAGATCTGGCGGCTAGCAATGGCCGAGTCCATGGGCGACGAAGACGGGCTGAATCTCGCCGGACAGGGCCTTCTTCCCGGTGCGTGTCGCTCTACTCAAATGTGACCAGCATTTGACTCTCTCGCAGTTTTCAGCAAACCCAACAGCTTCCTATTCTTGTCCGAGCTCTCGTTCAGTGGTACCCGCGTTCAAGACTTTGATCTCGTACACATCCACCACCTCCCGCGGCTCGTTACTCTACTCCTCAACAACACCGGCATCGGAAACGAAGCGTCCGCCATCCCCCGCGTCTCTCTGCGTTGACTGACATGCTCCTGCCCAGCGTCTATCACATCGTGGCTCTCAAGCGCTCCCTCCTCCAGCTCTCCATCGCGACCAACCCGCACATCGACGACGACGCTGTCCCCGCTCTCCTCCTGCTCTCCAAGCTCTCGTTCCTCACAATCCTGGACACCAGCGTCGACATGCCCGGCCTCCGCCGCCTCGCTCAAGTCATCTTCAACGACAACCGTGTCATCGACATCGAGATCCCCTCCGCCTGCGAGCACTACGTCGATAGTGTGTCTCCATTCTTTCTTATTTCATTTCGCGGCTGAGCACCGCAACGCAGACATGGCCGCGCACTACCTCGTCGACCCGGCGCCGCCGCTCCTCGACAACGCCGCGCTCGTGCCCGACCTCTCCGCCGCGGCGCTCAAGCGCAACCTCGCCGCGCACGCCGCGCGCAACCCCGGCATCGTCGCGGGCGGCACCAAACCCGAGATGGTCGCGCGTCTGCGGTGTATCCTCGAGACGCGCACGATGGACCTCCTCGTGCGCCAGATGATCCAGGGTGGTGACTCGATAATGCAAGGCGGCGACGACTCTGTCGCGCGCTGATTCATTCCTGCTGTCTGTTTCTGATTTCCCTCCTCTCGCAATTCTTGTACTTCCTCCCGCAATCGTTGTATTTTCAGCCCCGGGTATCCTAGAGCCCTCTAATTCATCGATATCGATCCTAGCTAGAATCCTGTAATTCATCGTAGCCACAATTGTAATTGCGTACGCTCTCGTTGCAGATGTAATGCATTTTCGGCGCCTTAAGATCTTAATCGGAAATCCACCCATCAAATGGCTCAGGTTTTAACCATCATGTGCTAGTTCTTTGTTGTCCGCAGGCTTCTTCTCCTACGTCGCCTTGCAGGAGTTGAAATTGAAGAAATCCCGATCAATGGCCCTGGAAGGTGACTACTTGGTCTCGGCTGCAGCGCCGGCCTGAGCAAACCACCTAAGATTCCTGGTCCCCTTCCGGACGTTGGCGAAGACTCTTTGCTGTGGCGCGGTGCCCGGGCGACATGCGCCTTACCAATGCCCACTCAGCCTTGACTCAGCCTATATGTTTACCGACTCGGAACCAACTCGGAATGGTACCGACTCGGAGTCAACTCGGAATGGTTGATGCGCCTCAGTTTAAATTCGACGCCGTTCTCAGAGCAACAATCCCCAGAGACTTACAAATTATCGAGACCTTCCGGTGAACACTGCTAGTACTAGCAACAAAAATGTCGACGCACACCGCGATTGCCGCCGTCGCCAAAGGCCAGTTCGACGCCATCCAGGTCGAGATGGAGAAGCCGGGCGCGGGGCAGGTCCGCGTTAAAGTCGCGTACGCCTCGCTCGCCGCGTTCGACACCTATATTGCGGATGTCGGATTCGGCGTTGCGAAGTATCCGGTCATAACAAACGAGGTACGAGTTGATAATGTTATAGCGTCTGTTTATAAGAGACTATATCCGGTCGGGCTCGGGCTCAATGCCGCGGCGACCGTGGTGGAGGTGGGCGAGGGGGTCACGGCGCTGGCGGTTGGAGATAGGGTACGTCCATGCGTCCGTGGGGTGTGTTCTTTGCGCTGACTGCTTTGCAGATTATGGCGTTCAGTGTGTATGAATTCGGACGAGGCACGGGCGGCCTCTCGGGGACGATTCAAGAGCTCCTCGTGCTGCGCGATTTTCTGTGTGCAAAGGTATGGATGCCCGCGGGGCTACTAGCTTCATGCGTGCTCATCAATATTGAATTTCCTCGTTAGGTTCCGGACAAACTCGCCCTTGAAGCAGCCGCCACCATCCCCGACAATTTCGTATCGGCCTTCTACGCGCTGTTCGACCAGCTCGCGCTCCCCGTGCCGGCCGCTTTCCCCGCTTCCACCCCGCCGCCGGACCACGCGCTCCCGATCCTCATCTACGGCGCGGGCTCGACGTCGGGGCAGTACGCGATCCAGCTGCTGCACGCGGCGGGGTACACCAACATCGTCGCGACCGCGTCGCCGAAGCACCACGCCTTCCTGCGCGGCCTCGGCGCGACACGCGTCGTCGACTACGCCAGCCCGACGCTCGCGGCGGACATCACCACGGGGGGTGAGCAGATGGCGCTCGCGCTCGACACGATTTCGGCGGAGGGCACGTTGGCGAAAATCGCGCAGGTGCTAAAACCGCAGGGCGCCGTCGCGCTGCTCCTCCCGATCAAGGACGGCGATACCGTCGCCGTCGGCGAGGCTGCGATGCACATGGCTGTCCCCGAGGGCCGGAACCCATTCACGCCAGAGACCAAGATCGTGTATGTGCGGGCGTTCACGTATTATCAGGTGCGCCTCTTTCCTTCAAATTTTTTATCTGCATAGGCCGCAGGGTTGTTTACATGTCGCGTAGAACGAGTACTTGAAGGACAACCTGATGTCCAAGATCCTCCCGCAGCTCCTAGCGGCGGGGATCATCCAGCCAAACCGCGTCCGTCTGCTCGAACAAGGGACGTTCAAAGAGCGCGTCGCGGTGGGCTTGGATCTCCTACGAAACAACAGGGTTAGCGGGGAGAAAGTTATCGTCAAAGTACCTTGAAGTATGATAGTCTAAGACTAATGATGTACATACGTATCTGTATTCACTTATGCGTCTCCAACGTCTCGAATCTCTGTGGGGCGGTATGATAAACCATTGGTGCGCACCAACGGGCTGTAATCCAGCGTTAA